TTTTTTAAATATTCGTCAATATTATCTAATATAAATATATATATATATATATATATTTATATATATATATATATATTTATATATATATATATGTGTGTGTGTGTGTTTTTACTGTAAATGATAAGCGGTTTATGATACTTGTTTTTTAATTTCGTGACTTTGCAGAACCTTCCACAGCGGCACAACCGACAACACCAGTGACAACTTAATTTCAAGATTAATTATCAGTATTAGCTGAAATTGAAATGCTTACACGAGTAGTAATTATGATAAAGTATTTTTTTTTTATTTCTATAGAACCTACCACAGCAGCACCACCTACAACATCAGTGACAACTGAGGGTAGGTACCTGACTCATAGAAAAAAAAATTCTATTTCTATTTTTTAAATATTCGTTATTATTATCTAATATTTAATAATTTCATTTAGTGTTCAATGTGTTCCATATGTGTTTTATCCAATGACCGGGGTAATAATGTGAAGCGCTTAGAGGCTTTGTTAAGGCATTAAGCGCTATATAAGATCGACATATTTCTTCTTTTTTTTAAATATATGTATATGCTTACTGTACATGATAAGTGTTTTATTATATATTTTTTATTTTATAACTTTACAGAACCTACCACAGCAGCACAACCGACAACGTCAGTGACAACTGAGGGTAGGTTTTGACTCATGCCAAAATAAATATTTTAAGATTAATTTACAATAATAGCTTAAATTTAAATGCTTAGAGTAGTGAAATATAAAATAGTTTATTATTTTATTTCTACAGAACCTACCACGGCAGCACCACCTACAACATCAATGACAACTGAGGGTAGGTACTTGACCCCTACAAAAAAAATGTTTTTACTATTCCTTAAATATTCGTCATTATTATCTAATATATATGCTTATTGTACATGATAAGTGTTTAATTATATGTTTTAATTTTTATAACTCTACAGAACACAACTAACAACATCAGTGACAACTGACGATAGGTTTTTGACTCATACCGAAATAAATATTTCAAAATTAATTTTCAGTTAGCTAAAGTCTTTTTCGTGAATACTTACCTGGATAACCGACTAATTGCCATTGTTCCCAAAACGGAACACCCCTTCGAAAAAAAAATGGAACAGTCCGACCGAAGGCGCCACGTGCGAATCGTCTCTCAAACAAACGTCCTCATTCCCTTTTCGATGTTGTTCGAAGTTAGATACATTCTAGCCTTTGAAATTACTAGCAGTCTTTTCAAGCAATTCTGTTCTTATTTTTGCCTTGGATTTATTTTCAACTTGACAAGATATCCTTTTTTTATTGTAGTCTCGATCGGCATGTCCGCTAGCAAGTCTTTGTGCTCGGCGTGTGGGGGCCCCAAACCGAGTGTTAAGCTCGACCGGCACTCGGAGTGCCCGTTGTGCCGCTCGTGTAGCAAGGCTGAGCCTTGCGAGATTTGTGCGCGCTGGCCCCCGGCTCCTGCGCGTCCCGCCCACCCTGTCCCGGTTGTGGGACTCCACCCGGACCTCATCCTTTGCCTGAATTCCCAAGCGAAATCCAAGCCGGTTGCCGCGCCGCGGCGTCTTACGGCTGCTTTTCCGGTCCCCGAGGACCAGTTCAAGCAGTTCATTCAGGCGCCGCCCATTCCTCGCGCTGCCAAGGGCATACTGCGGGAGGATCAGAAGCTCTCTTCTACTTCTAAGGCTTTGTTTTCTAACAAAGCTCAGGGCGCGGCTGAGGAGGCTTTGGCCTTTGTGGACCGCGCGGCTCGGGAGGGAATTCGCGCCGTGAATGGGGCGGGGTTTGCTTTGTCCTTCTTGTCTGACGCTGACGTTAACCCAACTCTCGTCCCGGACGCGATTGGCCTCCTTCAGGCGGGCATTGGCCTTATTTCAGACCAGTTTAGTTCCATCGCCCAGGCTGCCGGCGCGGCCCGGAGGGCTAATGTGCTCTGGGCGACGACGGTCAGCCCCGGTCATTTTGACCGGTTTTTAGAC